TGTGCCTGTTTATTGGCCATTTTGTGGAGTCATTTGTCTTGCTAAAGAATGAGAAAATTAACCTGTTGAGGAAAAAGTGATTAATTTTGTAGTTGAATTACCTTCATGGAGGAGCTGGCATAAAGAATGTGGAGAGCAGCACCACTCCATTTGGATTAAGTTATTTTATAAGCTGGTCTGTGCATCATCAAATGGTGTCTTAGTAGCAGGAGCTACTACCGTGCCTGAAGATCATGTTTCTTCATACCAAGGGAGCAAGACCAGGGACCAAACTGACATGGGTAGTAATTGACAGCAAGATACTTCAGTGCAATTGCTCAGTTTTCCCTGATGCTTAAATAACAAAGCATCAAAGGGTATTTATATAATAGTGGTACTAGAGAAGAAAGGTAAAAGTCAAAACCCTTCCTTCCAGAGTCCTGCCTGAAGGCTTGATAGCAAAGACACAATGCTCCTTAAAATGTAAGGGATTGTCCTGGAGTTCCCCTCTCAAGTGCTTTTGGGGAAAAGGGGACTACTTAAGATACTGAACTGCTTTTTTAGGAGTTTCCTATTCACCTGGGACAATATATTCATACAGGAAAATCTCCCTTAAGAGCCAGGACAACCTACTGAATACCTCTGCTCTACTGGCAATATCTACTAAAATATATGTATTCTGTGCAAGTACTTCTGGATAGCTGCTTCATCTTTATGTGAAATTATAATATTTTTGCACTTCTCTTATCAGTTTGGTGATCTATTCAACCCGCTGGTTTTCTAATGCTTGCAATAAGAAGTTCCTTTATTTTGTGGCTGTTCTTCCTCCTTCATTTTCTCCTACAGTCCATCAATAATCACTGCATACTATCTCATGCCTTATCAATTTTGGGAGCTGATAACCTGTCTGTATAAGATCAGCAGTGGATTCACTGAACTCTTTACCTTTTAGAGCTGACTCAACACAATTACTATATCAATGTTCTGATACCTTCTGCAAACAATTTGGTAGGTACTTGGCTAAAGTTTTCTAGAAAGACACCTAAATGAAGTTTGTTAATAATTGATTTACATGCAAAAGAGGTTTGTCTGAATTCTTGCTGACTGCTAATTGAGATGTGTGTGTGTTTGTATGGTCAACTGGCTAGATGTCAGGAGTAATTTAAATGTTTCTGCCTCACATGATCTGAGGTATCTAGGAGTATCATGTGAGATGTTGTTTGCTTTCTTGTTCCTAATTTTAAACACAAGCCTTTTCTGTGGCGGTCTGTGAGTCTATGAGCTACTTTGAGACGTTCTCCTTAGAGAACTGTGGTCAGAGTTTAAAATTAATTTTCTGCAAAACTTGGTTCATTTTGAAGGAAGATTAATTTATAGAACCAAAAAAAAATGATAGGTTTTTTGAGGAAATTATACAAGTAAAAAAGTTGTGATAGTTGATATATATCCAAAGGCATTTGCATTTCAGATAAAAGTACCAATTGATGGCTTCTTTGCCACACGAACAACAGCTTCCCTGCCCCTGTCCCCTCCGTTATTATATAGGTACTATCATTTCTTTTTTCCAAATTAAATTTAAATTTCATGCATGGCTTTTGTTGAATGTTCTCTTCTCTTTGTTTCCTGAGTGGTATTACGGCAACTCACTATCCAGGGTGCAATTTGCTTATTGTCTTCTGCTGGGAACTGTGAATCAGTCATTAAGACTTTAGGATAGTGATAGGCAAGAGTATCAGTGTATTCTAAAGCCAGTTATTGTAGTTCCCAGACTTGGAAAAGTCTGTAATCTCTTGTAAACTCTCAAATTAAATTTGTTAACATGCTTTCTGTAAAGTTTAATTAAACAAGAACACATGCCAGAAGGAGAGCTACTAGTAAAGAGCAGTTGAGACAAAAAAAACCAGCAAAGGATAGTGTAATATTGGAAGTGAATTGGGCTCATCGATGTATTAGAATGAGTTCTGCTGGGATTAAAGTCTTTGTGAAAAATGGGAACATGCTAGAACTGATACATCATCAATCTGATGGAAACACTTTTTTCTGCTGAATATGAAATCTCATTATATTTCCAAATGCTGCAATTGAGAATTCAATACATGTATTACACAACTACAAATTAGGGAAGCAAGGGTACTGCTTGAGATCTTTTCTTGGACATCCAGTTTTAACTCGTGCAGAAGTATATTTTGAACAATATTTTGCAGAACTTCACTTGCCAGTTATTTTGTGCATTTATGGAGTCACTCTGCAGGCTTTAAAAAGTAAGAACTTAAATCACTCTGCTCACAGATGCTTTCTGTGTATGGTCTGACAGCAAAAGGAAATGTGTTTTTCTACTGCTTTCAAATTCCATCATGGAAAACTCAGAAAGATAGGTCCTCAGCCTAGAGAATTAATCTTCAATGTGATCTTTTTAACCTGTTACTTATCAAAAAGCCATTAAGTAATTCTCCAGCTAAAATGTAAATCATTAACGCTTATATTGCATGGGGTGAGGACTGAAGATCTTGTATGTGTTTCATTCCGTAATATGAAAAATCTAAATTTGCATTTTGTTGCCTATAGCTTCACCGTGAACCCTCCTCAGCTTGCAGAATATACGTTAGAAAACAGAACATGAGTTGTAAATTAGCGATTAGCAGTTTCACTGTTAATATAGAAATGTAAACCTGAAAAAAACATGGGTTTTGTTAACCCCTGCTTTATAAACAAACGGGCATCTTTAATTTTTTAAGTGCAGTACTGTGTCTTGGCACAGGTGGAACTTGCCTCTTATCTTTTATTTAGAACTAAATAAACTACTACTTTTCAACTTGTTCCTTGTCATCTCTTGGGTAAAAATTAGTACTGTTCCTCATCTTCTGCCCTGAATTTGACACAGAAGCACAGCCTCTGTCCTCAGGAAGCTTGAGGATAAAATATCTTAACCAAATTAAACTTGCAGTTAATCTAAGATCACTCCATTAAGACCAGCTGAGACTTTGTACAGTTTCCTGCTTTCAGTACTCTTGTTGATAAATGTATCTTGATTATAATCTTTAACTTCTTCAGTTATGAGTCCTCCTACTCTGAGCTGCAGTGCTTATGATTATTTTGAGTGTTGTTTGGAAACCTCAGCAAGTTTTTATACTCTGACAGATGTTTGTCTAAGCTTTTGAAAGGCATCTGCTGAAAAACTTGATTTTTACCCAAGAAAATGAGTTTCCAGGGTAGAACAGAATGTTACGCTTCTCCTTTGTTTTGTATTGAAACTGAAGACAAAATCAACCTGTTCTGTCCTTGGCAGGTATGCTGTTGAAACTGGCTAGCCATGAATGATTGATATAAATAGAATTATATTCTGTTCCTTTTCAAATTAAGAGCACTGATACAGCACAGGCATGAGACTGTGGGACAAGGTGTTGCCTTATAGTTCCATAAGCAATAACTAAACGGTATTTTGTGAGGTTACAAGACTGAACTCCAGTAAACTCTTTCTAGGGTGTGATGCAGTACTATAATCTCCCTTACTATGCTTTCCAGTATATCTGAGTCCTTGAAATATGACCTAAAATAAACTGTGGTCAGCTACTGGGTCTTTTAACGCTTCACTTAAGACTACAGAAATTAAAAACACTAAAAACCTCATGAGAAAGTAGAGGTAGTTAATAAAGAAATTCCGAGGTTGATCTTTTGTGGTGGGACATCATTTGTGGTGGTTGAACAATGTAAGAGTGTGGTTGTCCAAGTCTATATTTAGTTGCAGTTCTGTCCTTTTTCAGTTCTGCAATAAGTGTTTCTCTCAAAGTGCATCTGGCTTTCCAGTTAAATTAAGTGTTCCAATAAAAGATACTATCTCTTCTTTAAGCCATTGCTAAGTATTAGTGTTCTACAGAACTTAAACTGTTTTTATTAAATAATTCACTAAAGTGAGGGGGGGGGGGGGGGAAGGAGGAAGCCACTGTATGTGTAGGCCTGCATTAAAAAACTTAAAAATTAAACATTGACAAGTAAACTTGTGCATACCCTAAAGAGGTGAGTGTGTGTGGAGATGAAAGGAGCAGGGGGGACCCCTTCAGAAGTGCCTAACTCCTCAATTTTTCTAACACAGACAAACTTTTCAGTTACTGAAGTTATCTTTGCCTTTCTGGTTCTTGAGGAAAAAATTATTAAACAGAACAATATAAGCACTTTCTCTGGAAACCTGCTGTTGAAAATTGCAAGAACAAGTTTTTAAAGCTAATTTAGAAATAATATTCCTGTCTCCATCTAATGTGTAAAATAAATAAAGGAAAATAAAACTTCATCAAAGGAATACTGGCATTTAGTATATGCCTTAAGAACAGTGCCCTTCAGAGAAGGTGCAAATACAAAACTGTTTCCTCCAAGTATTGCTGATGTAATGTATCAAAAAAAAAAAAAAAATCCAAACTGTTGTTGCATCCCAACCTGAATGTAGAATATATGAAACTATGTATTTGCATTATTATGCTAGTAAACTAAACCTCGTGTAGCAAAAGTGTGGTTGGAGGTGAAATGAAAATATAAAACATAAATGGAGCTGCTTTCACTTTTAACTTTTTATGTCAAATTGATAGTTTGCAAGCAGCTGTTCAAGGAACAGAAAGAGCTGCATGTGCAGTTGTAATACTCCAAAGAAAAAATTATTTCAGAAAGATTCAGTTGCACTTAAAGCACAGATAATTTTGATATATCTGAAACCATTGGTTTTTCGTAACTGTGGCCTAACATGACCTGTTCCTATGTAGTCTGCTCTTTGACGTTACAAACTGTTGATCTAGAATTATGCTACGTGGTGGTTCTCCAGCTAACGATTTTTGAAAATCCAAATATTTTCAGTGGAAAATGTGCATGCAGTACTTTGTTCTTACGTAATATATTTTTTTATCCATTTACAAAACTTAATGGTATGTCCGGATTCAGTGATATTGCATATGAGGGCTACAGTATTAAGATGTGTATATTATAATGTAAAATGTTATATACTTTAATTTTAAGCGTCTCCTTCTTATATCTTTCAGTTCCAGGGGACTTGGGTAATCAGTTGGAAGCAAAGTTAGATAAGCCATCAGTAGTGCACTATCTCTGCTCTAAGAAGACGGACAGTTACTTTACACTCTGGTTGAATTTAGAATTGCTTCTGCCTGTCATCATTGACTGCTGGATTGATAATATCAGGTAAGACCAGAAATATTGCTCTCTGCAGTTATCTCTTTTCCTTAGACTGACATGCTTTGTACAGAATGGCTGCCTTAAACTTTCTTTTCTGATTCAAGCCCAGTGAGAGAAATGACTTGGAACTGTGCTAGGTAGAGTAACAGGATGAGTTGGAAGATGTGGCTCTGTTGCATCTGAGGTAGCTTACATCACTGACTAAAATCAGAGGTGGTTCTAGTTTCTTCCACTTTCTCTCCTACCAGTTACCCAGTGTTCAACAAAAAAACCCCAACACCCATAATAATTAAAAAACCTGACCCAGTGCTCCAGATTCTTCATATCTCAAATTGATTTGAAAAGTATCTACAAAACACTCAATACATCTGTGTTTCCTGCGGTACCAATTGTTATTTGTCAAGAAATATCAAGTACTCCCTCATGCTGGTATCGGTGTTCTAGTTAAACAGAAATGAATTATTTTTATCTAGGAGAATTTTTCTGATATCTGACTTTGCAGTTATTTTATCTTCAGCTGCCACATTCTTATGCTCTTGACAAGTTTTCTCCATTATGTGGCTTGATGCAAAGTGAAATGGTATAGAACTATATAAAGTAGCTTTATATTCGAAAGTTGAAGTTCAGTCACAATTCTGTATATTCAGTTTTACAGAGAAGATTAAGTCTCAGATTTTGCATGTAAAGCATTAAACTAATTAAAATAATTGTTTGCATTGTGTAACCTCATAGCCATTAGAGTACTCTTATGTCAGCCTGTATGTGTGTGGGGTTTTTTTTCTTCTAGGTAATAGCACTTAAAATTCTTGTTACTGCTCTCAGAATATAAGTCTGAAGGTAGCTGAGAGCTGTCATGTGGTAATACAACATGTTTCATGTTTTTATCTCTTTTTTCTTTTTTTTTTTTTCTTCCCCCCAGGCTGGTATATAATCGAACAAGTAAAATTACAGAACCACCAGATGGAGTGGATATCAGGGTTCCAGGTTTTGGGCAGACATTTTCCTTGGAATTCCTTGACCCAAGTAAAAGGAGCGTTGGTAGGTACAAGCTGTGTCTGAAGTGTTTTGTCACTGGTAGGATTTTTCTAGTGTCTTTATACAACAAGCTACTGAAATGTGATTTCAAATTACAGTTTTGTTTAGAAGTAGAAAAATAGACTTTTTTGTAGTAGGGTAGCACATGGCTTACTTTGCTTTTAAGTGTTTTCCTTGCATTGTATTGTTTGGCCTGATAGATTGAGACAAGAAGATTCCATGTTATTTAGTCTTCTGCCAAATTTAAGTTCTCTGGATTAAACCTAAGTAGGCACTTCAAAGACAGACACTTCTGGAAAATGAGATGGATTGAGTAGAAAATTCTATGACTGAAGCTTGACAAGAGTCCTGGCTTTGCTAGGATAGAGTTAATTTTCTTCTTAGTAGTTAGAATAGCTGTGTTTTACTTTAAGTATGGGACTTGTTATGAGAAGAATATTGATAAACTATCACAACAAGCAAAAACAAAATAAAAACATTTCAGCTTAGTTCTGGGTAAGATGTTCTTTGGCCTTAAGAATGAGTTAATGGGCTTGGGACATATGGTACCACACCGTCAGTAATGCACTGAGCTTCACATGCTTCATAGCATGGATTTATTTTTCTTTTCTAGAGGGAGCAGCCCACAAAAGGGCAGTAATGTGCTAATGATCTTCACTAGATAACTTTTAACTAGAAAAGGGCCATATTCAAAACTGCCTATGTTCACTTCAGAGGCTACATGATAAGCATGCAAGGCTAACAAGTGAGTTCTGCTCAAAACTTAAATGACTGTGATATTCAATAGGATGCTTTGACACAATTTTTCAAACTGTTACTAGATACCTTTAATTGTGGTAATACTTGCATCCTGTGTGTCAAAGCTTGTAATACATAACATCTTTCAATACATAGCCAGTCTGCACGTTTCCATTCTTTGCTATTAAAGCATTATGTTCAGCCACTTAAGTCTTAGTTCATTATCTGATAGATAAAAAAGTAGTTTTGGAGTAGTTTCCAGAATTTTGCTGTCGGGTATATTGTAAGCATTTGTTTCAAAGAATAAACGTTGGTGAAGTCCAGGACAACCTTTATGAATGTGTTATATACCCTACCTGAAGTTAATTTAGAATCGACAGAAGCGAGGACTCTAATGTAGTAATTCTGAAGTGTATTCTTTGCAGTTCAAGGGTAAGACACACTTCTGCTAAGGAAAATTTATCCATTCTGCGTATGCCATGTTTTGCTGCCACACTTGTTTGATAGATCAGCCAGCTAGTAAGGAGCTTTAATAATGGTATTCTCTCACTTTCGGGGAACAGGAAGCATAACATTTTGTCTAATGTGCAGCTTCCTAGATTGTCAAAGCTTTAAGACTACAGGTTAATGTCTATCTGTATGGTATCAGGGATAATGCCTCCAGAACTTACTCTGTTTTGTGATAGTGTCTGACAGCTGCTTCTAATGGCTAATCTTTTACCTGTTCTGTTTCTCTCTTACCTGATATCTACAGGTAGTTACTTCTATATGCTGGTGCAGAGTTTAGTAGACTGGGGCTACAACCGTGATGAAGATGTAAGAGGAGCACCTTATGACTGGCGAAAGGCACCAAGTAAATAACATAATTGTTACTTGAACAAAATATTGACTCTTCCAGCCAGCAAATAATGTTTTGGGTCTCTTCTCCCATCACACAATTGTTTTAAGTACAATTATACTTAAAACCTTAATTTTGACGAGTTCTTGGGGCCTGGGTTCCTCTGGACCCAGATGAAAGCTGTCTGGTGTGGTTTCTTTTTTCTTTTTTCTTTTTTTTTTTTTTACTTTAAACAACTTGCTACTTGCTTAAAAAAAACAAAAAAACAACAACAAACCCACACCACCAAAAGACATTCCCACAAAAACACCCACCCCTCTCACTTAATGGAATTTATAAACTCTGTATTATTAATTCCACAGACAATTTCAGAAAATAACCTTTTAAAGAACTGTGAAGTTCAGCATTCGCTATTAATAATTATAACTGTGTAACCTGTGTATGTTTAATTTAGATGAGAATGGAGACTATTTTGTGGCCCTTCGCAAGATGATCGAGTTAATGTATGAGCAGTATGGAAGTCCTGTTGTCTTAATTGCCCACAGTATGGGTAACATGTACACCCTCTACTTCCTCAACCATCAGACTCAAGATTGGAAAGACAAGTACATAAAGGATTATGTGTCATTAGGCGCTCCGTGGGGAGGAGTGGCTAAAACTCTTCGTGTGCTGGCTTCAGGTAGGTAATTTGAGGGATTGCAGTGTATTTTGTTAGTAGTGCAAGACACTAAATAGACTGTTAACTGTAAGACTGGAGGATGAGAGGTTTAAAGAACTATTAAGTTTAAAATAACATTTTTTGTAAGTGATGGCAACTTGATGTTTCAAGCCTTGTGACCAGACTGTCATTCTTTATGTTCATGGGAGTGGACTAAGGTTTTTTTTAATATCCCTTAACCAACCAGGAGCTGCATCCCCTCTTGACCTCTCCTGACCTCTTTTCAGCATTGTTGTGTCATCTGCTGTTTGGCCTGGTGACTTCTATTTCTGTCACTTCTGCCTCCAGCCTGATTGCTCTCTGTACAGTACTGCAAAGCTAACAAAAGGACTCCAGAACATTCAGTAGTTGCCTTTGATTAAAGATCACACAGATGCTTGAGGTTAACAATAAGGGAAACTTGTAGACATGATGGTGCAGTCAGTGGTGCTCACAGTGCAAATGCCTGTCAAAAGTTTTAACTCCATAGATAAGGAAAGTGAATCTTTGAGATCTTGGGTTTAGCATACTGCATATCCCTGAAACTACAAGAAAACCCCCATATTTCACTAAGTAACTGCAAATGACTGATGGAAAAAGTTCACTTACCCCATTATATGATACCACAATTATTTCATGTGCTTTGGCATTTAGGTCATTATGTTTCTGGCTTGTTTTTTTTTTTTTTAGCTTGTTTCTGACTCGTTAGCTTTGGCTATCACTATCTTCCTAAACAAAGCTGGCAGCAGAAACTGCGCTTCATCAGAATGCAGGACACAGGCAAGTGCAAGCCATGCATGGACACGTCAAAGAATACTTTCCTTGGCAAAGGCATCTGATTCTGAATAGGAGTGTACAGCTCAGTTACTAATTAGAACACTTAAACTGGATGTTTGTATTGTTATACATGGTTAAGTATCGCAGCGGCACTGTAAAAATTGATTTCCCTTTTCCCACAGGCTTCATCTGACAAGTTTCCTACAGAAATGGCAGGAAATGAGCAATGTTAATATCACCTTCCTAAAATTCCACATGATCATATAAAAGTCCAGTCCCAGATTTCTGTTGGATTAACTTTCATGCTTCATATTTTGTTTATCCTTTATAATGCATCTCATCCAAAGTGGCTAGCTATACAAATGCAGAATGAATAGTTAAATTTCTACTAAAATGTAGCCATGATTTAATCTGTATGTCTGTTGTACTAAACTCTGTGTTTTTAGAGCAGAAATTTAAGAATCATCTAGGAAAATTAAATGGGCAGAACTTAATATTAAAATGCACATTTTTAGACTAGTTCTGTCTCAAGTATCTAGTAAATCACCACCACCAAGCATTAACACTTAGATTACATTAGTCTATGAAAGTATTTCTAAAATTGACATTATCATGGTGTTAGAATGTAGGAGAATTCTTGCTTTAAAGAAAACTACTGCATTGCTGCAGAAAGACAAGGCCAGCTATGAATGCATTCTTTCTGCTCCCATTCCTGTTTAGGATATGGTAATGGCTAGGAACTTGATGTCAAATCCACAGCTGTGTTATCAAAGTGATAACAGTTCACAGGTGAAATTATTTTCTCTGGATCTTCTATGACACTTTCTGCTTCTTAATCACGTGCTTTGCAGGATCAACACTTTTATCATTGCAATTCCAGTGCCAATAAAGTGAGGATGTTCTTCCCACTACAGCAAGCAAAGACAGAGTTCACTGTGGTGGTTTGTTTGGTTTTTTGCCAGCCTGAAATGCTAGCAGTGTCTTCTTTAGACCTAATATTTTGTTTGCTATAGTCTCAATGAGTGTTGTGTCTGCTGACTTAAGCATGGTCTTGGCCATACAGTACTTCTGCACTTCAGAGAAAAGTAAAGTATTTGATAAGCATTTTGTAACAGTTCTGTAAGAGAATGCTGGAATAGTCAGGTTCTGTGTTTGATTATGCTACTGGAAATAAATTTTCCAGTACACATTCCTTTCGTTGTTCAATTCATAACTCAGGCTTTCCTTGCTGAAAACTGCCAAGTAGTATTCAGTAGCTTAGTGGTGAGCGTGCACACACATTTTTCAGGACCTTTGTGATTCTTGCTGTGCTCCTCTTGAGTTTCCTTTTTATCTCTTTCAGAGTTACACTAGCAATGTCTCCATGTAGTCCTCCTGAAGATGTAGAACTCAGCTTCAGGTCTCCTTGCTAAAGCAATAGTGCCACCTTATGGAATTGAAAAATATACTTTAGTGCTATTTCAGGAACAGTGATTTTTGGTTTCAGTATTTCAATTTTTATGGTGTGGTTGACCTCCATCACTGCATGCTGTAACCACGTGGACCTAATAATGGAAAATCTGATTCAAGGTTTGGCCGACAAAAGAACTGAGGTGTGACAGTCATTGTGATAATAGAAAATAGGTCTGATCAGACAGTCACCATGAAAATAAACCTGGATCTGTTTCAGGGTGCTTCTTTAAAAATTAATTTCTAGTAATTACTATCCTCCATTTATTAAGCAGCTTTTAATTTGGTGAAGATGCAAGAACAATGGTTAAAATATGAAGAAAGATGCATATAAATTATAACTTAGTCATGTGTTAGTTTGACAAACTGCTAAGAAAACAATGGACTTGATGTCTACAAAAAAACTATTGAAATGTTTTGGTCAAACACTAGTTCTGTAATCAGAGTAAGTATAAATTGGTAAAATATAATGGTTTTGTGGTTTTTTGGGTATCAGATAACTTAAGACTTTTATTGATAATAAGCTCTATCTCTCTAGATTTATATTATAGTAAGAAAATATAATGCCTTGGAAAAGTTTGGCCAGCTGAAACATTTCCCAAGTATAGTAGTTATCAACTGGTCTTTCAAGAATTGTTGGTTTAGTCTGTCCTCCCCCAGCAAAGTTGAGGTTTAGGTTACCAGAGTTGCTAGTAACTATTAATGCTAATTAGTGAAAACCTGTGTTCCGAGCAACAAGTATTTTAGCAGTCTTAATGCTGACTGGAAGGGAAGATGCTGATATTGGTGATTTTCCATGGTTCCCACCAGAAGCTAACAAGCTCTAACTCTTCTTTTGCTGAAGTACTACACTCAGGGACTCAGTTGGTCATTGAGTGCAGCATTCTTACCTGATAGCATAAGCAGAGACACTAATACTTCCTTCTGTTTCCTTTTATGACAAGTTATCTCTTTAGGTAACCATTAAGAGTCGGCTGTTTTCTTTCCATTGTAGGCATGTTCTGGTAGGTTTTGTTAGGCAGGGAGTGCATAAACTGGTAAAACACCATGCCAAATGGTAAATAAACCATATAGTAATTTTTATATCTATTCTGAATTAAATACTGCTACTCGTTTTGAATGTGCAAAACTTTAAACATTGTTAAGCATGTAAGGTCTCTTCATGAGTTTACTTGTGTGTGGACAGTAGCTGTAATCTTTGTTCAGCAAAAACATGATCGAGGTACCAGAATCACTGTAAAACACATTTCCAGAAAAGCACTTAAGACAAAACTTGCAAATGTTGTAAATAATGCCTAATAAAAGATGATTTCTTACTTGACTAATACAGGAAATATTTTCCCCTTTAAAAAAGAGCATATTGGAAAGGCAGCAGCATTCCTGGTTTGTCAGTCATTCATTCATCAACTTGTATTTAAATTTGTAAGTTATCAGAAGTTAGTTTGCAGAAGTTAATTATCAAGACAATCATAAATGAGGAAAAACTTCTCAAATTGTCACTATAAGCAAAAGGAATAATCTTTTTATTCATGGTGCCACTACCATATGAGTGGTAGGAATTGCTGCTGGTTGAGATTCATGCATTGCTTTGTGTATAATGAAATTCCACTTTTTTTTTTAAGGTGACAACAATAGAATACCTGTTATCAGTTCACTCAAGATTAGAGACCAGCAGAGATCAGCTGTTTCCACAAATTGGATGCTCCCCTACAACTACACGTGGCCTCCAGATAAGGTCTTTGTAAGCACACCTACAGCTAACTACACTCTTCGGGATTACCGGAAATTCTACAGGGACATTAATTTTGAAGATGGCTGGCTCATGAGACAAGACACTGAACCCCTGGTCTACCACATGACACCACCTGGTGTGCGCATACACTGTCTTTATGGCACTGGCGTGGAAACACCTGATTCCTTCCATTATGAAAGTTTTCCTGACAGAGAACCCAAGATTCTTTACAGCGATGGGGACGGTACAGTAAACTTGCAGAGTGCCTTGCAGTGTCAAAAGTGGGTGAACATGCAAAAACAGGAAGTAGTGATACTCGAGCTTTCAGGAAATGAGCATATTCAAATGCTTTCCAATGATACTACTATCTCCTATGTGAAAAAGCTGCTTTTTGATTTGTGATACCTTGTGTTGACAGTTATTTTCATCACATGTGATGCCTTCCCTTAAATATGGGAAAATGCCTTTTAATCCCTTGATATTTAGATATTTGAATTATTTATTTTGTGAGTTTTTTTAAGGCTGTGTTCAAGAAGTTGTTTGATGTCCTAAATGATTGTTTGTCTCTGATTTGTGTTTATTATGCTTCATGGTATTTTCACATTCTGCAAATTTGGTCAAATACGCATTTTGGTGCCTCTGGTGTTGTGTCCAATATTCATACAGACTTTCATTTGGAGATTGTGCAGCTCCTTGCACGTACTACATAGAACCATAGATACCTGAGTTCCTTTGAGTGGTCTTTGCAGGGTTTGGAGTGGTAGGGCTAGGAAGGATTGCAGTTTCAGATGCCCATAAAACAAGGGAATGATATTTGGGAAGCACAGTAAATATTTTAAAGGGTCTTGCATATTCTGATCCCCAGATCCCAGTACCTTAGTTTGTAAATGTGCATATCTACTAGGTAAGATAGGGAGGAGATCTGCCTGCTATTGTCCATCCTTTCTTTTGTTACAGCTCCTGGGGAAAAAAATATAGATGTGTGAATTACTTGAAGCTTCTTATTAGGTATCTTTTTGGCTTTTTTTTTTTTAATGGAAGAAACTGTTCATCAACTTCTAGAACCTGATTACTTAGAAACTGGAGTCTGAGGAATTCTCGCCTTGTGCTTTATTCATCAATGAGGGAAAGAAGCTAAACAGCAGTTGGTGCTTGCAATAGCTGTAGCTGTGTGGAGCAGCACATAAATGGAAGCTGATGGAATTGAATACTCACAAACAATCCATACAGTGCAGAATTGTATTTCTGGGTGAAAAATTACCTCCTGTGGTGGAAATGGTAATGGATGGTGGACATTAATTCAGAAAGAACAGTGAACTTCCTGAAATGGGGTGGGGAATGAAGTCACCATAATACAGTATGAGGTACAAACCTTGTTCTCAGTCAAATACTTAAGCTCTGATCCAGTAGTGACTGGTAGTCACTTTAGTAGTAAGCTCTGACCAAGTAGTGACTGGATCAACATTGCATTCAGCTGAAAAGAAACTTCACATTTTAAGGCTAAAATTCACTTCCCATAGATTTCAAGTTTCATTATTGCTGTTTCAAGAAGTTGGGATAGACTGTTCCTTAAATCTTTATATAAATTGCTGAATGTACAACTCTTAACTTCCTACAGTGTTGTTTTACTCAGTTTAAGAAAAAAAAAAAATCAAGTCTGAATGCCACAGAAATGATAGCCTAGAGGCCATCGTATATACAACTTGGATTACAGAAGCCCTGTTGGAGGAATAGTTTCACTTGAAGATGCTGTTTCGCTTGCTTTAAAACCAGTCACCCAGTTAGACTGCACTTAGTTCTCTGAAAACACAATTTTGAATGCTTTCAAAATGCTAGGTCCTCCAAGAAAAATGTAAGAAAGAGTTTCAGAAACTCATCAGAACTGTTTTGAGGATTCATTACTTAAGAAACTGAAGTTGTCTAAATGGTAGAGTTTTAAACTATTTTGGTAGCATGCATAAAATGTTTGCTGCAGTTAAATGGATCAGTAATGTTTTGAAATGACAGGCTTGAACTCATGTTACTGTAGAATGCAAATATTTTGGCACAGGAGGTAGGTTTAAAGCTTTAACTTTTAATTCAGAAAGGACTTGTAAATCCAGAACAACTTGAACTAGGGTCATGGATAAGCTAAATATCTTCCTAGGTTTTAACTTCCTTATGTAGCTTCATTTTCCCCCTGCATTTTCCTTATTACTTTTGTTGATGGAGAGGACATATATTCCTGATTTTCACAGTGGAATGTTTATCTTATCAATTGTCCAGGAACCTACAGTTCAGCAGCAATATTGCCTAGACTTTTACAAAGTACTGAGTTGCCCCAAGCCATTTGTAATTGGTAACTGTTGAAATGAAAAAACAAAACCAAAAAGAGCCCCACAAAAAAGTCCTTTAGTGAAGTGTTCTATTTTATGCAGGGCTGGATAAGCTTCAGGTTTTGTGTTCCAAGACTGCTCAAAGATGATAAAGTTCTTCCTGTGGTCTGACTTAATTTTTGAATAAATTGATGTTACTATTTTACAAGGGAAAGCAATTACAGCAAACAGCTTGTCACAATCTCTGTTTCTTGCTGAAGTAGAATGCCTGTTCATAAGCACTGAAATGAGTGGAGCTGGAGGCTGTACTGCAGGCTACCAATGTGGGCATCAAGGGCTGAAAAAATGAGAAAAGAACATAGGGAAACAGTTTTTAACCTGATCTGGAGAATGTTTCTAAGCTTCTTGTAGATTCTTACCTATTAATCAGTGGCATCAGTCTCATACCTTGAGTTTAAGCTTCAGAGATTTTTATGATTTGAAGTTCCAAAATACATGAATCCAAAAGATGCTCTTTTTAAATTTTTTTCCTTTACTACATTTTTAATATTACCTTTTGTGTCCCAAAAGAAAAAAAATATCTTACCCTTTTCTAATTTTGGCAACAAAGTACTGTGTTTCTGAGATCAGTTGACTCTATCTTTTAACCTAAAGATTTGTAAATCTGCTTTCCATTAGCAGATAAGCCATCGAGTGTATCTCTTTAAAGAAACTTGTGTTAGTTAACCTGGTAAAATGAAGCTGAAAGTTTGCCAGGGCTTTTTTGTTTATGTTGTTTGTCACTTTAAAGCCTTGTTGTGCAAGAATGTGTGTACCTGACTTCAGAGTACTGTGTTGGAGCAAGCACAGTGCTTCTGGTGAGATTTTGATTGGATGTGATGGCTTTTCTGCAGGATGTAGTTCTGTTTTATGTCTAGAACTTGTCATTTTTCTATTAAATCACCTTCAGCCCTTTAATTTTCAGTTTCCTGCATATTAGGATGGAGTTCTCATTGAAAAGTAAATACAGCAAGTAAACTACATTAGTCATTGAAACTGAACCACTTCACTCAGCGTGTTAAGAAGTGCTTACTCACTACAGCGTGTTCCTCTACAAGGCAAGAGTATTTAGCATTACTGCTACAGGCCTGTTAGAGCCATGTGCACTTGAGCATTCTAGATTCTTGTAGGGAGAGAGGTCTGAAGAAATAAATCTGTAAGGAGAGGAGAATGTGGCACTTCCTTAAGAGGAGTAACTCAGGTGCTTTGCTACATTGCAGAGTTGAAAACTTTGAATTTACTGCCATACCTTCATTATACCTAACACTGATCATAGCTCTCTCTTTCCATAGTTTTTACTTGGTTTTTTTATTCTTCCAGGATATTTTCAGAAACCAAAAATAGTCTTGAGGACCAAATGTGTTTCTTATTTTTGACAAAATGTACAGAAAATGCTGAAGAAGCTTTCAGCTGTCATTGTAATACTTCTGAGAGGTTCAGGGTCACTATGTGATTCTGGTTAAAAACAGAAGGCTTCAATAAGTAGCAATAATTGCAAAGGACTTGCAGACCAAAGGAAGGAATGTCTGGTATTAAGGTAGTTCTTGGAGCACAGTGTGTTCAAGGCCCTCTTAAATTCAGGGAATGTTTGGCAATTACTTTGCTGCTCTACACTTAACAGTATTTTGTATGGAACATATTCTGAGACCTAGCATTTTATATGCTCTTTTTGTGTATGAATGCGTTCAATAGATTTTGAATATTTTATTGTCAAAACTTTGATAACATAATAAAGTTGATCTAATACAGCTTGTCTCCTGTTGTGAATAATGTGCTGTCTCACTGCTCAGATGGAATGTGAACTTGTCGCTGTTTTTCTTCCCCACAGATTCTTGGTGTCTCATTTTCTCACGGTAACTGTTGCTTGATTCATCTTCTAAATGTACCTACTGTCTGGTTGTACAGTTGGGAGTTCTCTGTTAATTGTTCTTGAATTTATGAAGATGTGGGACTGAGAACTATTTCTTTTGTTTGCTTCTTTCTTGCTCATCTCACTTTTTAAAAAAACCCAAGGTTCTTGGGAAGCCTCATGCTTCTGTTCAGGTAATCATTTTGAAATTAGTCCCTCACTCCTGAAGTGTCCTAAATGCTTGCAGTTGCCTTTCTACTGTTGGTTTCTAAACTGATCCACAAACCTATGTGTGTTGACCAGATAGTTTCATGGTTGGTATGAAACAATCTTTTTGCAATTAAAAATAGTGCACTGTGGCTCTGAAGAAACTTAAATGATAGACAATGATTCTGTAGGGCAAAAAAACTCTGGAAATTATCTCCTTCATCAAAGGAATCTAAAAGCCTGTTGGGCAAGCAGAGGTCCTCTGGTGGCTGGCCTGGATGCTTCACTAACCTATAGACAAATAATTGCTTATAACTCTTGAGAAAGAGGGGAAAAAATGATGAGGCTGAAACTTGCCTTGTGGGATAAAACTGTAATACAAGAGGAATGTTGATGACTGCTGCTCCACTCTGCACCTTAGATTCCTATTAATCGGACATCTCGTCCCAGTACAGTTCTTGTTCATGCCTTCCTCAAGGCTCATTGACCCCATATAATTGCAGGAGAAAGGGGAATGTGGCCTTCCTCCAGCTCACCACTAAAATGGGGAAAGTCCTGCATTAAAGAAAGCACTGTGCCAGTTCTTGGAAGGAGCTGGGAAGGCTGAGAGGACAGGGAAGTGGGGACAGAATGATAATGGGGCCTGGCTAGAGTGATGCCAAGCCATGTGAAAGACGGGTGTCCTGTGCAGGGCTAGAATATTGATGTAACACTGGTGCTGACTTGTGCATCTTTTAAATAACTGAGTTACAGTTGCATATTGCCTGATGCGATTTTGCTGTGCTATCTTAAATGCTTACTTTAAGGATGAGACTACAGTTTTGAGAATTTACACTGACTTTTTCTTTTGCGTGAATTACAGTTTTCCTCCAAAATTCTAGCTTATTAGTTTCTTTTGTTTTCTTTTGTTTTAAGACTAATTTACTTTGTGGTCATTCAGATAAACAAATAAGAGTTAAGTGGAATATTTAGTTCCCAAATCGGCATTCTTCAGGAAAAAGCAGATGTAATACCAGCCCAGGAAATCAAAGAAATCAATATGCAATGTTTTACTCAAAAATACTGGTG